CTGTCAGGCATAATATTATATTGCAGTCCTGTCTAAAAATCTGCAAGCCATTTTACATATGTTTTTCTTTAAATAAAATTTTTGATTCACGTCTGATATGTACTAGATTCAACCTTTATAAGTACATATATTTCTTCAGTTATTCTGAGAGTGGATTAGACGTGTTTTCCCCTAACCATGTAGTTGCTTATTTATGTTTACCAATACATATAATAATTCAAAAATATTTTTTGTAAAACTTGTGTGATGTTAATGTTAAGTCAAAGGTTTTTATTGTGCAGTTTGTTTAACATTCTGTCTATTAATTAAATGATTTAAATAAAAGAAAAAATGGCATATTGAGGTTTTTATCTAAATATTTGAAACAATAATCAGCTAGCTGATTATGAAAATAATAGTGCAGCCCTGGCAAAAGGTTTGACACAAATATTAATTTTCACAAAGTCTGCTTATGAAGAGAGATCAGATGAATTGCAATTAATTGCAAAGTCCCTCTTTGCCATGAAAATGAACTTAATCCCCCCTCTCAAAAAAAACATTTCCACTGCAGTACAGCCCTGCCACAAAAGGACCAGCTGACATCAGTGACGTCAGTGATTCTCTCGTTAACACAGGTGCCAGTGTTGAAGAAGACAAGGCTGGAGATCACTCTCTCATGCTGATTAGTTAGAATAACAAACTGGAAGCTTTAAAAGGAGGGTGGTGCTTGAAACCATTGTTCTTCCTCTGTTAACCATGGTTACTTGCAAGGAAACACGTGCAGTCATCATTGCTTTGCACAAAAAGGGATTCACAAGAAAGGATATTGCTGCTACTAAGATAGCACCTAAATCAACCATTTATTGGATCATCAAGAACTTCAAGAAGAGATGTTCATCTGTTGTGAAGAAGACTTCAGGGGGCCCAAGAAAGTCCAGCAAGTGCCAGGAACGTCCCCTAAAGTTGATTCAGCTGTGGGATCGGGGCGCCACCAGTGCAGAGCTTGCTCAGGAATGGCAGCAGGAGGTGTGAATGCATCTGCATGCTCAGTGAGGCGAAGACTTTTGGAGGATGGCCTGGTATCAAGAAGGGCAGCAAAGAAGCCACTTCTCTCCAGAAAAAAACATCAGGAACAGACTGATATTCTGCAAAAGGTACAGGGATTGGACTGCTGAAGACTGGGGTAAAGTCATTTTCTCTGATGAATCCCCTTTCCAATTGTATGGGGCATCCAGAAAAAACCATGTCCGGAGAAGAAAAGGTGAGCGCTACCATTAGTCCTGTGTGATGCCAACAGGAAAGCATCCCGAGACCACTCATGTGTGTGGTTTCTTCTCAGCCAAGGAAGTGGGCATGAATTAAGAATGGTACAAAAATATCCTCCGAGAGCAACTTTTCCCAGCCATCCAAGAACAGTTTGGTGAAGAACAATGCCTTTTCCAGCATGATGCAGCACCTTGCCATAAGGCAAAAGTGATAACTAAGGTGCTTGCAGAACAAAACATCGAAATTTTTGGTCCATGGCCAGGAAACTCCCCAGACCTTGCAGTCAATCCTCCAGAGCTGAGTGAACAAAAAAAAAAACCCCCAAATTCTTACAAACTCCAAGCATTGATTATGCAAGAATGGGCTGCCATCAGTCAGGATGTGGCCCAGAAAGTGACTGACAGCATGACCCATTGCATAGGTCTTGAAAAAGGGGGGTCAACGCTGCAAATATTGACTCTTTGCATAAACATAATGTAATTGTTAATAAAAGCCTTTGACACTTATGAAATGCTTGTAATTATACTTCAGTATACCATAGTAACATCTGCCCAAAAGATCAAAAACACTGAAGCAGCAGATTTTGTGAAAATTAATATTTGTGTCATTCTCAAAACTTTTGGTCAGGGCTGTATGTTCTAAACAGAGCAAAAAAAATGGTTGGAAACAAGGAAACAGCTAGGGACTCAAAAGCTGCAATATTTTCCATTGTTGTTCTTGGATTACGAACAAAGAACTACAGAACTTGAGGGGGCTTTACATCCCCCCTTGCTAGCTTTACCACCTTTTACTCGCCTGTCTCTGTGATACTGTTTATGTTTGGCCTAGTTTACTTAAGAACTAATATTACAGTAGGCCACCAATCAATGTCTTTTCCATTAGTGCCTTGCATGCACAGTCATAGATGGCCCAACCAGTTCACAAGAGGGCATAGATCACAGCTAAGGAAATGGGTCACCCTCTGATCTGAGGTAAGCAAAAGGGAATATAGTTATAGTGTATTATTGATAGATAAAAATGGACTTGTGTGTCTCAAACTATGAGGCTTCTGATTAGTTGTAGGGAATATTATATTTTTGGTCTACTCAGGTGATTTAGGCTACTTTGGTCATATGTTGTTTTCAAACTATGTACCGTTATATGTTTTGAGTAAAATCGAGGAGGGGGAGCAGTTAGGATTGATCAGTGTAAAAGAAAATCAATTCTTTAACCCTAATTTAACTTTTTTCACTCTCATCAATCCACCCCTATGGAGGTAATGTCAATAAATTAATTGTATTAAATGGTTCTTTGCAGTAAAAAAAAAAAAAAAAAAAAAAAAAAAACAGCACTGAGGGACATTTATAGGATTTCATTGATGACCTTCATTTCTAAAAAAAACTAGTTACCTGGCTGTTGTGCTGAATATCTCTGAAACACTTTGTAAATCTGACCTTGACCAAATAAGCATAGAAGCAAGAGAAAGCCAGGTATCTCTAGAGCAAATTCAATTCCTCTCAGATATATACTGGTGCTCACAAACCATTTTAAGAGGTATACTTTCTCTCAAGAACAAGTTTAAAGTGGTTGTAAAGGCTCAAGGTTTAATACCTTCATGTATTCTATGTATGAAGGTAAAAAACCTTGGATGTGCAGCATCCACTCCAGCCCCCCCTAATACTCACCTAAGCCCCCTCTTGATCCAGCGATGTTCACGCTCCTTGCTGGCGTTACGTCCGATCCAGCTCCATCTTGCTTTCCACGCTGGTCACTGTGGCGGACGGCTGCATTCGGATGTTTCAGCTCCACAGTCCAGCTACACATAGACTGTCTGGATTTCAAATAACACAAGAAATACATCCGGACGAATTACTGACATGCCTGTCTCTGTTCATCTTCTAGTGAGTTGCCAACTGTATGTTTTTAATAAACTCCACTACTAATGTTGCACTTAGTCTGGCACCCCTCTGATCTCAAACTCCAGCTCACACTTTATAAGCAATTACAGCGTACAGTTTTTTTTTCCTTTTGGGATAAAGGTTTTACTTAAACAAATAAAAGGTCATCATTGTCAGTGGTAAAACTCTAATCCTTAACCCTGTAACTGCTACATCTGCAAGACAGCTTTTTCTTTGAAAAACAACAGATTCACTGGCAGGATCACTAGGTGAAAATATAGGAAAGAAAAGTAATGCAGCCATCATTTCAAAGAATTGGTAAGCGGCAATATAATAAATGTTTGCTTTTGAGTTTATTACCACTTTAATTAATAAAAGTAATAAAAGTACAAGAGAAGTATGGCCAAAGCTTTTTTGTGGGTCACAGGACTGCACTTTGGCTTTCCTGCGACACAAAATTAGCTGATAGCACGATATAGGACAGCTGCAGCATCACACCAATGCTGCAGCATACAGGTACTGTACGTATTTGTGGTTTTTTTAAGTACCCCAGTAATAGCAAAATAAAAGTATGTAATTAAAAAATTTTAAAGGGATTTATTGTAGTTACATTTTTAACACTGTGATATTCTATATCATTGATGTTTGCACAAAATTCTTAAATTAAACAGAGTGTGTGGATTTGATTAGTAGCACTCATAAGAAACACGTTTTTGGCTATGCTGCAGGAGAATGCAGTTTATGGCATTGGGTACTGTGAAACTACATAACTTATTTCTTGAAACTGCTATAAATAGACACTATAGTATGATGAAAAAAATCTCTATCTAAAAGCTGGTTTTACTGCCTATATTTGTGCTAATCCAGAAAAGACCAGACTGGAGAGCAGACTAAGGGGAAATACACCTGCTCAACTGGAAGGGAAAAAGAGCAAATTACATGATGAAATTTTACATGAAACTTTTTATCAATGTCATAGCACCCAACATGCACAAATGTTATTTTCAAAGGAATGCATGCCTCTCTAAAACAAAGTTCAATGTTCCACATAAAACTGGAGTAAGTTAAACAGTAACAGCTCTTTCAGCCCTTGGTTAACCTAGGTTCACACCCAAGCATTTTCTGCAGCATTTTGTAGAAATGCAGTACAGTCCACTTAACATGAATTCCTATGGGACATGTTCACATCTGCACGTTTTCCCCGATGCATTTTTTCGAAAGAGCCAGGGACTTTTTTGAACACAAAAAGTTGCGTTTTTGGTTCTATAGACTTCTATGGAAACGCTGCAGAAAAGCATGTAGTGCATTATTTCTGCATTTTAAATCTGCCTAGCAACAAGAAAAATAAAAAATAAATGAAAAAAAAACCCCAACAAACGCAAAATGCATCAAAAGCGTGTAAAAAACGTAAAGGAAAGGCAATGCAGAAACGGCTCAAACGCAATCTGCACATGTGTGAACCTAACCTTAGGGAAGAATAGGGGGTTCATAATTATCATAATTCACTGCTGAAAACAAATTAATTGCAAACATTTCTCATGTCTTAAAGGTATTATAACTATATCTTAATAAATGTGTTCATGATTCTACCAGATTGCTTGGAAAACATGTCATACTGAACCAAGTATACAGCTGTTCACAACCAATTTTTATGCAGACATCTATGAAACTGGCTTCACTTTCATACAGCTTTTTTCTAGTAAAATTATTATGTAAATCCGATACAGTATGAATGCATGCGTGGGAGTTTAAATTTAAATAATGTATTCTTGTTGTATGGCTATTTTCATAAAAGATCACATCTATAAATGGTGATTATAAAATATCCTTGTACTTCAAATATTTCAATAACCTCACCAATAGACTGTTAGATGTTGGGACAGAATCAAGGATGAGATCCAGTTCATCACCAATAATTTCATCACGTAAATTTGACACTGGAAACAGAGCAGACGTTTCACTGCTGGAAAGGGCTGAAGGGAAAAGTCCTACTTCGGGTACAGCTGCAGGGAGCACATTAGGGGAGAGAGATGACACTGGAGTGGGAGATTGTTCTCTTAATAATTCAGTTTTAATACTATGCGAAGAGAAGGGTGGAGGAGGGGATTTACAGTCATCCACTTCAGGTAAATCTAAAATAGAGCAGAGATAATCATCTTAAAATAAATAATGCAATATAAACTTCTGATGTGATCCTTTTAGTACATCTAAAAGCTGAACTCTCTACAAAAATTCTCCCTTGCAGTAAGGCTGCCCCTGCACCGCAAGGGTTAAATGATCATCTAGAGTGCAGGATAAGAGGTTTTAATTACACAAGCTTCCATTTTTGTGGATTCCTCTGCGCAGCAAGACTGGTACCTGCAGCCTCTTCTCCCCTATTCTGTGGCAGATGCCCTTGACGTAATCAAGACCCATGGAAGGGCCATAACCCTGAACTTGACGTGGGTAAATTGAAGAACAGTCCGCTGCCAGAGCATAGGGGAGCACCGTATCTGGTAAGTAAAACTGCTGTTCCTATCACCTAGATCTGAACGAGCACTTAACCTTTGCAAGTGGATCGGTTTTTACTTTTCTTGAAGTTGGGCTTTAACTGCATTCTGTTTAAGAACAAAGTGAATGTATAGTAAAGGAAATTCTTATATCACTATGTCTTTATTTGGCCACATATATTAGGCTAAGATGCAAAGCTACTGTTTTTAAAGAAGAGCGCCAGACTCATCTGAAAAATAAAGTCAGCAGCTACAAAAACTGTAGCTACTGACTTTTAAAAAACAGCCACTCACCTGTCTTACGATCCAGCGCTGTGTTCACACCAGCAGGGTTCACTGGCCGTCCTCTCTCCATTAAGTGTGGGCACCTGGCTATGACATCTTGCAGCCTCACAGCTGGGTGCCCACTGTGAATGTGTGAGCAGCCTTGCGCATTGCAAATGGTCCCTTGTTTTCTGGGATCTGTCACGTGTCCCAAAAGACTATGGGGGGGGACAACAACTTTTGCTTCTGATCGTCTGGGCAGTTGGAGCAGAAGTGGGAGCCAGTACCTGTCAAAATCAGGTAGCCTCTCCCAAAAGATGCAAATGCCTCAAGGGGAGTGAGGGACTAGTCCTTAAAGCGGAACTTCCCCTTTTGGGCAGAGCTCCGCTTTAAATCTAGTTATAAAGACAAGGTCAAATTTTTGTCCCAGTAAAAATGGTGGGATTGGGCCAAGTATGCTCCCTGTACATGGAAAGAAAAATTTAAGCAATAATTATAACAGGGAAATATAAACCTGAAAGAAAAAAATAATAACATACATACCAGGTTCTAGTTCATCTGCAACATAATCTGTCTTCTGTAATAAAAAGAAATGTATAAAAAAACGGAAGAAGCAAACAATCTATTGATTTAGGTCTGATAGAAGCAGTCACTCATTGGCCCACTGATACTTGATAGTTGTTATGGACCATAGAAACTAAATATATTAATTAAAGCCCAAACCCAGGAATATAAAAAATCCACCCTTGCAGTGGGGCTCCCAAGCAATGAAGGGGATGAATGCTTGTTTTATTTAGGGGGCACAGCACTGGCTGTGTTATTTACCTGTGTCCCTGCTTCATTGCTCTGGTCTGTGAATGGAACCTCAACATCAACATGGACAATATGTTGTATGTACAATATGGGGACCTTTCCCTGTATGCTACATGGAGAAGCCTGGAGTGCAATGCAGCTGTGGCGGACAGATCACAGCACTGGTGGTAGCAAAGAATAAGGTAATTCTCCTTATTCCACTGCCCTAGACATGATGAACATTTATATACAAAAAATGACCAGCGCCAAGACCATGAGTTAATTGTTAAATAAATGCTGCTGCTCATTTAGTGTAAACACCAAAAAATGATATAGAACATCAAAACAGCGCAAATATAGAATACAAATTAATAAAAAAATATATGATGAATACACTCCAGTGAAAAATTAAATAAAATTATATATATATATATATATATATATATATACAGTATATATATACATATACAGTGAGGAAAAGAAGTATTTGAACACCCTGCGATTTTGCAAGTTCTCCCACTTAGAAATCATGGAGGGGTCTGAAATTCACATTGTAGTTGCATTCCCACTCTGAGAGACAGAATTTAAAAAAAAAATTCAAAAGTATTTGAACACCTGAGAAACAGCAAGAATTCTGGCTCTCAAAGACCTGTTACTGTGCCTTTAAAAAGTCCACCTCTACTCCACTCATTAATCTAACTTAGTAGCACCTGTCCGAGCTCTTTAAAGACACCTGCCCACCCCACAGTCAGTCAGACGCTAACTACTACCATGGCCAAGACCAAAGAGCTGTCAAAAGACACCAGAGACAAAATTGTGGACCTCCAAAAGGCTGGAAAGGGCTACGGGGCAATTGCCAAGCAGCTTGGTGAAAATAGATCAACTGTTGGAGCAATTGTTAGAAAATGGAAGAGGCTAAAGACTGTCAGTCTCGCTCGGACTGGGGCTCCATGCAAGATCTCACCTCATGGGGTATCACTGATGATAAGAAAGGTGAGGAATCAGCCCAGAACTACAAGGGAGGAGCTGGTCAATGACATGAAGAGAGTTGGGACCACAGTTTCAAAGGTCACTGTCGGTAGAACACTACGCCGTCATGGTTTCAAATCATGCATTGCACGGAAGGTTCCCCTGCTCAAGTCATCACATGTCCAGGCTCATCTGAAGTTTGCCAATGACCATCTGGATGATCCAGAGGAGGCATGGGAGGAGAAAATCATGTGGTCAGATGAGACCAAAGTAGAACTTTTTGGTCTAAACTTAACTCGTCGTGTTTGGAGGAAAAAGAAGGATGAGTTGCATCCCAAGAACACCATCCCTACTGTGAAGCATGAGGGTGGTAACATCATGCTTTGGGGGTGCTTTTCTGCGAAGGGGACAGGACGACTGCACTGTATTAAGGAGAGGATGAATGGGGCCATTTATTGTGAGATTTTGAGCAACAACCTCCTTCCCTCAGTCAGAGCATTGAAGATGGGTCGTGGTTGGGTCTTTCAACATGACAACGACCCGAAGCACACAGCCAGGATAACCAAGGAGTGGCTCCGTAAGAAGCATATCAAGGTTCTGGAGTGGCCTAGCCAGTCTCCAGACCTAAATCCAATAGAACATCTTTGGAGGGAGCTGAAACTCCGTGTTGCTCAGCGACAGATCTAGAGGAGATCTGTGTGGAGGAGTGGTCCCCAAAATCCCTGCTGCAGTGTGTGCAAACCTGGTCAAGAACTACAGGAAACATTTGACCTCTGTAATTGCAAACAAAGGCTTCTGTACCAAATATTAACACTGATTTTCTCAGGTGTTCAAATACTTATGTTCAGCAGTGCAAGACAAATAAATTCTTTAAAAATCATACAATGTGATTTCCTGAATTGTTTTTAACATTCTGTCTCTCAGAGTGGGAATGCACCTACAATGTGAATTTCAGAACCCTCCATGATTTTTAAGTGGGAGAATTTGCAAAATCGCAGGGTGTTCAAATACTTCTTTTCCTCACTGTATATGTATATATATATATATATATATATATATATATATATATATATAATTTTATTTAATTTTTCACTGGAGTGTATTCATCATATATTTTTTATTAATTTGTATTCTATATTTGCGCTGTTTTGATGTTTTATAGGGTGTTCAGATACTTCTGTTCCCCACTGTATAAAATAATAATATATGAAGCGTTTTGGCTCCATTTAAAATACAATAAATGCTGATTACATTTTTTAAGAATGTGAGTGGTTTGGTACTTGGAAATTGATTCTGCCTGAGTATTGCAGTATTGCACTATATATTTGTTTTTTCTCTGCATCATTCATAACTTTTCTTGGTGAGTAGTGTCTGTTGATCTTGGAGGTTGGAGGCTGGTTATATTCCTGTCTGGAGTAGGGGAAATCCAAAATATCCGGTGATTGGAGGCTTATTGACTGGGTCTAGAATCCCAAAAAAGCCCTAAAAAGGCGTTTTTTTCACCAATATCTGGTGAGTGCAGAGTTATTTGAGCACTATTACGGTGTCAGCACAGGTCAAAGGCTCTTTGGAAAAGGACTTTTATGAATTTATTTTTATTTTTCACTTTATTGAATTGGAGTGGGACTTATTAATTTTTTTATATTATATATATATATATATTATTATTTTATTTAATCTTTCACTGGAGTGTATATTCATCATATATTTTTTATTTATTAATTTGTATTATATATTTGCGCTGTTTTGATGTTTTATATGATGAACATTTAACCCTTGCAATTAATTTTTTTTATATTTCTGGAGATGGACTTTAAATCACTGCTCTTACAGCAATCTGGCTGCTTCTTCAACGAGCTCAAACTGAAAATACCATGCAACAGAAGAACCTTTTTATTCACCTTTATGGTAGGTTGTAAGGAAAAAAATCGTAATTTTCCACATGAGATCAGGCTGCTGCTATCCAACGCTCCCAGGGGTGTAGGATATTGTGCCCCCCAATGTGCGTTGTGGTCCCACATGCCAATCCCTACTTCACTACAGAATATAATAGTGATGTAGAGACAGACAGGATAAACCAAAGCGTGTCACTTTCAGTTGGTGTGTTGAGTTAGAGAATGACTGCTTCCATCATAATATAAAAAGAATTTACTTAATAAACCATCATATTCATATTTAATTATTATCAAACACAAAAACATGCATCGTTGTGGAAAGTTCAACATTTATCACAAACATAGAAAAATAGTATTCTTAGATCCCTCCCCTAAAAAATACAGGCACATGTACCAGCTGGACTGAAAGCACTTTTCTACCATGTTACCATGCTACTTGTCTTTCGCTTTTTTTTTTTTAAATTCCTGGGGGGACATTCAGGTCTAAAGTCTTCTGTCTTTATCTGTGCACAAGAGAAGGGACATTCTGGTGCATGCATCACAGCCTATGTGATGTGGACACAACTTGCTATCACTGGGGTCCTCTCAAGATCCAAAGAAATGATAGGAATAATATGGTCATCAAGGAGGCCAGGAAACCATGCTGGCAAGGGGACTTAGCCGAGTATAAAATGCTTCACATGGTATTATTACAAAAAATTAAACTGCAGAATGGGTTAGAGGGGGGACAAAACTGGGGGAGATGGGTTTAAAGAAAAATAGAAGGGATTTAAATGTATATGCTTCAGTTGTAACAAACGTGACATGTACCCCGCTGGACTTAACTTATAGTAAGCCAGCATATTTTGCAAAGTGCCTGAATTCCTGGAGTTCAGCTTTTAATGAACCTCTGACAAAAAATACTAACCTCCTCAGTCGCATCCATATCTGTTCCTTGTGAACCAGGCTGAAATACAAAACAATATTTTTAGAGAATGATGAACCCCAATGGTAAAAGAATAAAGGAGAGTAAAATACTGCTTACCTGAGCCCTGATATATGCTTTTCTGATTTTCAGTCCAAGTTTCATAGCTAGTTCTTGGGTTAACTTTACAACACTTTCATCCTGCATTAATAACATTTTTTTTATTAAAGGTGTTATTTTAGAAATTGTCTTCATATGAATGAGTACCTTTATTTGTTAAAGGAAATGTGCATTGCATAAACTTTTTTTTTTTCTTTCTTCTGCCAGGTAAATACAAAATATTGCTTGTAAATATTTTGTATTTTCATTTTAATCTCTAGGATTCTTGTTTATCATGCTATAATTCCTTAATGAAAAAGGCAGAGTTCTACAGCTCAGGCTGAAATTTAACACAAACCTGTTTCTTCCTTTTTCTATGTACAGATGGTTCTAACTTAAGTTTCAGTTCAAAAGGGGAGGTCGTGAAGTAAACTGCTTAAAGCTGAAGTTATTCCTTCTATTTTGCTTTTCCCTGGTCCTGTTCAACTGTGTATTTTTAACTCTCCTCCTTAAACTGCAAGGCAGCAGAGGGGGGTGCTTACATGGTGCTGTCATGAAGCTTTGTGCCCAGGACAAAAATGTATTTATTTATTATAGGTACTTATATAGCGCCATCAATTTACAGTTGCAAGAAAAAGTATGTGAACCCCTTGGGATTACGTGGAGTTTTGCATGAATTGGGCATAAAATGTGCTCTGAACGTCATCTAAGTCACAACAATAGAAGAACACAGTCTGCTGAACATAATACTACACAAACATTAGATGTTGCCATGGTTTAATTGCACATAACATGTAAACATTCACAGTGCAGGGAGGAAAAAGTATGTGAACCTTTGGACTTAATAACTGGTTGACCCTCCTTTGGCAGCAATAACCTCAACCAAACATTTCCTGTAGTTGCAGATCAGACCTGCACAATGATCAGGAGTAATTTTGGACCACTCCTCTTCACAAAACTGTTTCAGTGTAGCAATATTTTTGGGATATCTCGTGTGAATCGCTCTCTTAAGGACATGCCACAGCATTTCAGTCGGGTTGAGGTCAGGACTCTGACTGGGCCACTCCAGAAGGCGTATTCTGTGCTGTTGCAGCCATTGTTTTGTTGAATTACTTGTATGCTTTGAGTCATTGTCCTGTTGCATCACCCATCCTCTGCGGAGCTTCAGTTGGCGGACAGATGGTCGTCTGTTTTCCTGCAAAATGTCTTGATAAACTCTGGAATTCATTTTCCCATCAATGACAACAATCCGTCCAGGCCCTGAGGCAGCAAAGCAGCCCCAAACCATGATGCTCCCTCCGCCATGTTTTACAGTGGGGATGAGGTTTTTTGATGTTGGTGTGCTGTGCCTTTTTTTCTCCACACATAGTGTTGTGTGTTCTTCCCAAACAACTCAATCTTGGTTTCATCTGTCCACAGTATATTTTGCCAGTAGTGCTGTGGAACATCCAGGTGCTCTTTTGCAAACTTCAAACGTGCTGCAATATTGTTTTTGGACAGCAATGGCTTCCTCCGTGGTGTCCTCCCATGTACTCCATTCTTGTTTAATGTTTTCCTTATTGTAGATGTGTCAACAAAAATGTTAGCATGTGCCAGAGATTTCTGTAGGTCTTTAGCTGACACTCTGGGATTCTTCTTTACCTCATGCAGCATTATGCGCTGTGCTCTTGCAGTCATTTTTACAGGATGACCACGCCTAGGGAGAGTAGCAACAGTGCTAAACTTTCTCCATTTGTAGACAGTCTGTCTTACCGTGGACACATGAACATCAAAGCTTTTGGAGATACTCTTGTAACCCTTTCCAGCTTCATGCAAGTCAACACAATTCTTGATCATAGGTCTTCTGAGAGCTCTTTTCTGTGAGGCATGGTTCACATCAGACAGTGCTTCTTGAAACCAGTAAACCCAAAACAGGTGTGTGTTTTTTCAGGGCAGGAAAGCTGTCAGCAAGACATCCAATATCATCACACTGATTGGAGTCAAGGTTGGTTCACTCCTGGCTCCAATTAGCTCTGGGAGAAGTCATTAAGCTAGGGCCTCACATACTTTTTCCTCCCTGCACTGTGAATGTTTACATGTTATGTGCAATTAAACCATGGCAACATCTAATGTTTGTGTGGTATTACGTTCAGCAGACTGTGTTCTTCTATTGTTGTGACTCAGATGACGTTCAGAGCACATTTTATGCCCAATTCATGCAAAACTCCACGTAATCCCAAGGGGTTCACATACTTTTTCTTGCAACTGTACGCAGAGCTTTTACATATATATTGTACATTCACATTAGTCCCTAACCCTCCAGGGGACTACAATCTAAAGTCCCTAACTTACATTCATACATACACATACTAGGGACAATTTATACAGGATCCAATTAACCTACAAGCAAGTCTTTGGAGTGTGGGAGGAAACCGGAGTACCTGGAGGAAACCCATGCAGGCACAAGGAGAACATGAAAACTCTAGGCAGATGGTGCCGTGGTTGGGATTCAAACCAATGACCCTAGTACTGCCAGGTGGAAGTGCTAACCAATTAGCCACTGTGCTGCTGATCACTCATCATGCTTGATGAGCGGTAGCACTGCTGAACGCAACCTATTCGAGTGAAAGGGGAAGTGCCACAAATTCCCTGCAACCATGCGCAAAGCATGTGATTGCAATGCATTGGTGTGACATTTATGGTGTTAAAACAGGCAGGGGGAAGGCATTATATTGCAGTGAAGAAGCCCATGCCTTTGGCATTCAGGACATTGACATTTCTGTTCTCAGTGAGGATGAACTCTGGACACATCAGAAATTAAGACCAAGCATTGGGGGCGCAAACATAGTCATTTATTATGGGTCAAGTTCCTTCAGCTATGAACCTTATTGGTCTCCTTTGATGATTATTCTTACAGCAAAAAAATATATACTCACACTTCTGAGTGCTTACACATATCTGGGACTCTGTGTGGGTTTCTTTCCCCACATCTGCACATATGAGACATCCGTATCTTGCTGACTGCTTGGACTATTTCTCTCTGCCTTCCCATCTACTCTGGCTCCTGCTGTATGGCAGTCTATTAGAGTGATATACATCTGCATAGTTATTATTGACTATTCTCCTGAAGAAGCAGGCAGAGATTCCTGTGAAACATGCTGAGAAATGAAAAGTCATCTTCAATACACATATCATATTCTGCTAAGTTTGGATTCGATCACATTTGCAATGTGTAATGCATGTCTATGATGGTTGTTATCTTAATGTAATAGAATTAATTTCTATCAGAAGTATTTTAGAAGGACTTCTAGTCTTTATATACACAATATTAATAAAGTATATTAAGGGGAGTGATTCTCCCTCTTATTATTTTTTAACTAAAATGCTTCTACTTTGTATTACTGCTTGGGGCACCTAAAAAGTCCCTATGGTATTCTTTTTGTGTTTTTTTGTCTAAATTTTGTTGGATGTGGTGTACCCACTTTGGAACCAGACCCACCTAGCACAATTTCTTTGAATGTATTATTTAGCCTAGGCCAGAAACCAGGAAGCAACTGAAAATATGTTAAAAAAACAAATCAGCTTCAATGTCAAGCAACACTTACATCTAGTATGAATTCTCATAGCTCTTCTACACAAAAGCTATTATTTTAGCAATCCATGTTCTCCAATTACAAAGTATACATAAGCAGAGTTAATTGAAAAAAAAAAAAAAAAAAAAAAAGGAACAGACATGTTCCAAGCTTATCTTACCTTTGGAGCAATAAGGGAGCACTTGGCCACAGCCTCATAAGCCTCTTTTGTATTTCTCCAATATAAAGAGGGCTTTAGATTTGCAGTACAGAGTTCTGAGATTTTTGTCATTTATACGCAAAGCATCCTCACAATCTCTTAAAGCATCCTCATGTAAACCCTAAAGATAACAGATAATACAATATTATTTTTAAGCCAGAACATCAAGGGGTTGTGGCCCCACTCTAAAAAAAAAAAAAAAAAAAAAAGCCAGGAATAAGATCAACAGATTCAACAGCAACTGTTGTTATTTGTGAGCAACTACTTTCAAGGATGAAGCACATGAAGGGCAAAATTAGAACCAAAATATCTGATGAGAATTCATGGAGATCTGCTACTACATCCATCGAAGCAGATATTAATGTTAGTTTATCAAAAAGAGTATCAAATATCGCCCTAGTTTTATGTTGCCCTCTTACTTTTGTAATTAAAAAATACAAAAAATGAGGTTTATTACTAAAAAAAAAAAAAAAAAAAAAAAATGAGGTTTATTACTCAGATAAGTACATCTATCTATATCCGTGAATATTAACTTTATGATCTGCCCAACATTTTCTGCTCATCAGCTATGCCTTTTGTTAGTGTATTTTATGTTAAGCTCAAGAAATTTCCTCTTCTGCCAATGTGGACCAGGATGGTCAAAAAGTTGGACACCCCTAGCTAAGACCATGCTGATCAGCTCTCATGTCAAGTAAACAATGCAAATGCAGTAGGTAAGGATCAAATCTCTGCAGGCTAAACAAACAAGACTAAACAAGGTTATATGATTAATTCCCAGGACACTCAAAAGGTTCCCAGGCTTAACCTTTATAGAAGGCGTAGGCAATCCTGGAGAGTTGGGAGATCTACCTGAAGAACATGAAGACATTAAAAATCATCTGGGTGCAACACCCTTTTTTCGCTTTAAAGAAATAACCTATTAATTTAAAAAGTAAGGAAGGTTTGAAAAGTTCAGAGGTAAGCAGTAATGAAGAGTTAATAAATCAGCAGTAAAGCAGAATGCAGAGGTCAGGAGAAAGCAGCACAAAGTTTAGAGGCTTGTACTAAGAAACACAGTCTACAATGGTAAGGAGTGAGTAGTAAGTAATGCAGAGTTATGGGTCAGTAGTATCATAGAGTTCAGGAATGAGTAACATCAAGTCAGTAGTAATGCAAAAAAAGGAAGGGTCAGAAGTAGGTAAGGCAGAGTGCAGGGGTCATAGGGGGGTGTCCGGGCTGGAAGATAAGGCAATGATTGGTGGAACAAAATGTTACACATACAGACCAAAGCTTTAATGAGACAGAACTCGACCTGAAGCATGAAGAAAAATATATCAAATTTGTGTTGTTCCTCTAAAAAAAATTGAAGAAAAGTGAATATTAGACTGTTCAAATAAAATAGCAGTGTTTGTATTCTTCTTTACAAACTCAAACATTCACTATATAAACTGAAAAACGTTTGAAGATTTTGCTCTCCTTTGAATCACTTAATGAATATTTAGTTGTAGTCGCACTGTTTCTGAGAACTGCTGTACATCTGTGTTGAATGGAGTCACCCAACTTCTGGCACCTGTGAACAGGTATTCCAGCCCAGGATGATTGGACTACATTCCACAGTTCTTCTTTATTTCTTGATTTTGCCTCAGAAACTGCATTTTTGATGTCACCCCACAAGTTTTCTATTGGATTAAGATCCGGGGATTGGGCTGGCCACTCCATAACGTCAATCTTGTTGGTCTGGAACCAAGATGTTGCACGTTTACTGGTGTGTTTGGGGTCGTCTTGTCAGACCCCCATTTCAAGGGCATTTCCTCTTCAGCATAAGGCAGCATGACCTCTTCAAGTATTCTGATGTATTCAAACTGATCCATGATCCCTGGTATGCGATAAATAGGCCCAACACCGTAGTATGAGAAACATCCCCATATCATGATGCTTGCGCAACCATGCTTCACTGTCTTCACAGTGTACTGTGGCTTGAATCCAGTGTTTGGGGGTCGTGTGACAAACTGTCTCCGGCCAGTAGACGCAAAAAGAACAATCTTACTTTCATCATTCCACAAAATGTTGCGCTTTTTTCTCTTTAGGCCAGTCAATGTGCTCTTTGGCAAATTGTAACCTCTTCAGAACGTCTTTTTTTCAACAGTGGGACTTTGCGGGGGCTTCTTGCAGATAGCTTGGTTTCACATAGGCGTCTTCTAATTCTAACAGTACTCACAGGTAACTTTAGACCTTCTTTGATCTTCCTGGAGCCGATTGTTGGCTGAGTCCTTGCCATTTTGGCTATTCTTCTATCCATTCGAATGGTAGTTTTTCGCTTTCTTCCACGTCTTTCAGGTTTTGGTTGCCATTTTAAAGCATTTGTGATCATTTTAGCTGAGCAGCCTATCATTTTCTGCACTTCTTTATATGTTTTCCCCTCTCCAATCAACTTTTTAATCAAGGTACACTGTTCTTCTGAACAATGTCTGGAACGACCCATTTTCCTCAGAATTTGAGAGAAATGCACTGTAACCAGCATGTGCAACATTTGCTGCCTTCCTTCCTTAAATAAGGGCAATAATTGCCACCTGTTTTTCAAAGAATGAATGACCTCACTAATAGAACTCCACACTGCTATTATTTTGAACATGCCCCTTTCAATTAGTGATTCAATTACACAGAATCAGCAGCATGCATGTCATGACTGTTGGGTCTGTTGGATTTCTATTACTCTACTACACCTGCTAGTAAATTATTTGCCATGTAGAAATATAATTTCTACCAAAAACACTGATTGATCAGGTTAGTGATGTCTGACTGCTATTATTTTGAACACAACTATATGTCACATGCCTGTGATCGACTGGTTGCCAAACCCAGCTTTGTAGACTACATTTAACATGTTTAGTTACATAACTAGCACATAAAAGCATTCTCATAGTGAGGTACTGCTAGAATTCAGTTACTGGAATGCAGACACACTCTTGGACTAGACTGTGGATTTAGTTGTTTTCATAATCATGTAGCTACTTTAGGTAGTTTTTAAACTTCAGGTGCTCGGTTTTTCCCCATATATGTACTAACCTAAACCTTTCAGCACAGACTAAATCACAGCTTGTTTGCAAATCATATGATAGTAAAGACCAAAAGCTAGGAGGGCCAACTTCTAGGAGTCATAATCTCATCCTGCGGTCATCCTATTTCAGTTGTAGTAAGCAGCACAAAACACCATAAAAGGCCATATCCAATACAAGATGGGAGGGAGCTATGTCCCTCAATGAACTCCAAGAAAAAGATTTCATGAGCAGAACAAAAATCCCCTTTTTTTTTTTGTCCATTGAGGGACACAGCATTTCCTATTCATGAACCAATGGACATCCCCAAGCAGTTCAAAGCAGGGGTATTTTGTAAAACTAGGTGAAGGTGTGGGCTGAAGAAAAGGTAGAAGCTTCACAAATTTGAGGTACAAAAATCTGATGGTGAAAGGCCCAAAACATTCATTTGCCCTAGTGAAGAGGGCACAAACAGGAAAGGGTGAGAAAGTTCCTATTTGTACACTGTGTACATCAGTTTGCTGAATACACCTGGAAATAGTTGAACTGGAAGCCGAAGCCCATTTCTTGGAACCCTCCAGAATGGCAAACAACAAATGATATTTCCAAACAACTATGAGCAATCTTCTTACAATGTTTAGTAACCAGACAAAGAAAGGCAAATAAATGTCTTCATTCATAACCTTTTCTCTCTGAAGAACTTAAACAAATTCTTTACAGGACATGGCAGCTACATCAGAGACTTTCTAGCCTAAGTAATTGCCACAAATGAAGCCATATTGTGTGATATAGAAGACAGAGAGAAATTTCAGACTGGTTTAAAAGTAGGTTTCTGGAGGACTGACAAGACCAAGTTGAGATCCCGTGGTTGACGTGACAATCTAATAGGAGCAGAAATATAAGTGACTCCTTGAACAAAAGTCTTGATCGAAGAGTGAATAGCCAATCGACTCTGCAAGTGAATAGCCAATGCTGAAAACTGAGCTTGAGGGTACTCCCCAGTGAAATTGGTCAACCCTTAGCCTCATACCAGCCGAAGTAGGCCTTACAGGTGCAATGATACATTTTTGGGAAGTGGATTCTAATGGTAGAGATCATAGAGTATGAGATACCTTGGTCCCTCAGGTCCCAGGAAGCCACCAGCGCATCCATTACCAGTGGATTGTGAGACCTGGAATAAAGCCTATCTAACTTCCTAGATAGGAAGCAGATTCTATTATCCAGCATTCCCCAGTGGAAGCAGAGATCGTGGCATGTTAGACTATTCCCCAGGATCCAGGCATTGTCAACTCAGAAACCTGTAAATTTTCCATGCCACTAACAGAGCTGGAATACTGTTCTGTCCAGGCCAACCTCTACTCCCCTGGCTGTTGCTAAGCTCTTTGGCTCTACTTGTTGATGTTTGCCATTGTCTGATTTATTATTTTGGACGACCTGACATTTGTGCAGACAAGGGAAAGAAGGCAAGGCCAGAGACATTGTCCACCACAAATATGATGTCCTGGCATATTCACCCAACTGGATCTCCCTGTTTAAAGAGAGGAGGATTTGTCCCATTCAGATAAACTGTTCCTTTGCAAGCATCCCGTATGACACTAGGCAAATTACATGACTTAGACATAATACAATGAGAACCAAAACTCTCATGCAATTCCACAGGATAGATCATCTGTGTAAAAGGCATTAATGAGCCTGAAACTGGAGTTTCTCCAGGCGAGAAGACTGGCTAAAGCAGTGTCCAGTGCAAGACTCAGATAATATAGGCAATGGGATGGTGTCAGTGATGACACCTTTATACTGAAAAGCCAATAATAAAAAATTCTTCCAGAGTCTGAAGAGTTATGTTGACATTGATCTCTAGATTCACTGATGACCGTTTCCTTATCAGCATGTTGTCCACGTAGCCTTTAAACAGGTATGACCTGTACTCAAAGAGTACAAACCCTTGGTGAACACTCTGGATGTAGATGAATAGCTGAAAGATGGGCACAAATTTATAGAAATTGACCACCATGGTGAACGGGAGAAACCATTGGTGATCCTTAGATGTAAAGGCATGCATCCTGACAGAAGAAAATTAAGAGTGAATAATAACTATGAGAGCCTTCAAATCCAGAATAATATGCATAACAGCTTTCTGCTTGAAAACAGTAAACAGGCTGGAGATTTTCCCTGCGGGAGAACAGGAACAATGACTTCCTGAGACAGTACTCCCTAAATGGCCTGTCAGAAGCTGAGACCAGGATGCTTGAAGCAATGAATACTGCTGTGGGAAAGGGAAGGGGGGGGGGGAGATTTCTAGTCTGCGCCTGCGCCCAAAGGTTACAATATTCAGCACGTACAGATAATCTCCAGATCTCTGCAAAGGGTCACATATGTCCACCCAGTTGTAGACTACTACAGGCTGCAGATGCAGATTGCATTATAGCCCACGATTCACGAATATGAAACACAGTATCCCTCAGTAGATGATAAAGCAACTCAACATTTTGACATGTGACGAGAACAGGAATAGGGGGAAATCTTCCAACGGAGACACTTGCTCGAGCAATAATTGTCTAGAAAGGGTTTTCCTACACTTTGGGGATTTATCCTTACTTCCTGCTGGACAGGAAGTGAGGTAAATTTCCCCAATAGGACACAATAACAGAAAGACTGACAGGGGTTTTAACCTTTCCCTACTTTATACAAAATAGAAAAAAAAAAGTTTTGGTTTTAGAAGTACTTTAGGATTGAGAACAGGCTTGTTTAAGATGCTTTGCAACAGATTTACCTAAATGTTTCCACAGTTGTTTAACCACTTGATAACCGGGCTATAGCCGAATGACGGCTACAGCGCGGTTTTCCAGTTCTGCGAGGACGTCATATGACGCCCTCCCAGAACGCGCTATCCCGTGCACCCCCAACGGCAAGCACCTGGCAATCTCCATGATCGCTGTGTCCTACGGACACAACTGATAATGTGATGTGGTAAAAGGCCAATCACAGCGTCCTTTTACCACATGATCAGCTGTGTTCAATGACACAGATCACCGTGCCCAGCAGTGCCACCCTCCAGTGCCCAGCAGTGCCACCCTCCAGTGCCCAGTAGTGCCACCTATCAGTGCTGCCAGTCATTGCCCAGCAGTGCCACCAGTCAATGCCACCCATCAGTGCTGCCTATCCGTGCCCATCCTTGCTGCATATCAGTGCTGCCTATCAGTGCCACCTCATCAATGCACATCAGTAAAGGAGAAAAATTACCTGTATGCAAATTTTATAATAGAAACAAAGAAACATTTTTCTAATTTTTTGCTCTTTTTTTGTTTATAGCGCAAAAAATAAAACACGCAATGGCGATTAAATACCACCAAAACAAAGCTCTATTTGTGTGAAAAAAATTATAATTTCATATGGGTACAGTGCTGCATGACCGCGCAATTGTCATTCAAAGTGCGACAGCGCTGAAAACTGAAAAGTTTCCACTGTTTACACTTGACTTCCCTACACTCACCCCAAAGAAAAGGTCTTATGTAAGCTTGGTCTGCTGTGACCTGGTGATTAGCTCAGGTATTTTCTTTACTCCAGGTGGCAAAGGAGCGAAGGGGAAGTGGGTATATGTGGCAGGGGAACGACATTTCAATTAAGTGTTGCTCTAAACAGGATTCACTGTAATGATCCTGTACAATTTTATACAGTAACAAAAATCATAAGGAGAAATGCCACAGTGATGTGAAGTAGCAATATTTATTGTAAAAGGCATATGGCTCGCATTATTAAATTATAAAGTCAATTGATATTGTTAGACTCAGTCAAAAAATATGCAGTTCATCAGGTCACATTATTGTTCAGTTAGCTGTATGTAGAATGTGACAGTTGTATAAATACTCCAATTACCATGGCCAGGTAACATGCAGCACGGTTCACATGCAACCTCTCCAGTGTCTCACTAGTGATCACAATCTCCTCAGATGTGGCATATTTAGCAAGGTTAAGCGCTTCTGAGTATTGGTTGATAGACTCATTCTTGTGTCCTTCTTTGTACAGATCATTTCCCTCATTGTAAAGGTTTCTGACCAGCTTTTGCACAAAAACCTGTCAAAGGAAAACAAAACACATCATAAACAACACAAATATAAAAATAATACTGTAATTTAAAAAGGCAATGTTCCATTTACCTCATATTCTTTTTGACTGCCAAAAAAAGGTAATGAAGACCTGAAATAAAAAACATAACTCAGAAAACATTTGTGATTTTTTTTGTCCACAAAATAATCTATACATATCCACTACTTAATGGTCCTGTAATCTATTTTTCATGAAATTGTTTCTTACTGTGTTCACCTGCCTTCTTGTAACTTCCTGCTTCAGCTCCTAAACCACTTCTTTTTCCCTCTCATTTCCATATGTTTGGAACAAGCAGCGCACATTAGTTTCAAGCATGCGCACTACTCTGCGCACACTACACATTCTGATGTCCCTACTCCACAGCAAGCAAAAGAGGGTGGCTACATTCCTGCTTACAGAGGGACCTTGGAGAATGCATGTAGCCACCCTCTAAAAGGAAATCAGATCACAGCAGCAAAAAAAAAAGGCATTTGGAATTTTCTGGCAGACAGCGGGAGCCATCGTCGGAAGCGGAGACTTTTTTTAACATTCTTTTTTCGGGTCGGCAGCGGGCATTGTGATTGACGTTGGATCTACTGTGGATGACATTCTTTTATTTTTTTCTTTTTATAAAGGACTTGTCAAAGACCGTGTCCTGTCTTTTTTCAGTGCGGACAGCAGAGGGAGCTAACTCAGCTCTTTAGTGCATCAGGCTATTTATCACCTTTCCAGCCCCCTTCTAGACACTCCTCTCCAGGTATTCACAGGAGCATGATAAATATTCAGGCTGGTTATTTGCATCTCGCTCCCTAAGCCCTGGAAACTTCTTTCAGAGGTAGGGGGAAGCAATCCAACTCCTAGCCCGGGAAACATTGAACAAACAAAGAAACAAAAACAAAATATACCTAGCAATATATATATATATATATATATACACATATATATATATATATATATATACATATATATATATATATATATATATATACACATATATATATATATACACATATATATATATATATACACACACACACACTCATCACTATGTTGTGTAAACAATGGCATGAACAAAACTCACTGAATAAATTCAAGTCCATTTTTTATGTCCTCCTGCCTGTTGTGTCGATCAATCAGCTCATTGGACATCTTGTCGTCTTCATCAGATTTTCACAGTAGATGCAAATCTAGAAAACTAAGGATTACGTGTCATAAATGTACAGAAGTGCTATTACAAGAGCTTATGTTACTTAAAAGGGTAGCTGTTCAGTATAATACTGTAAACAAATCACTTCCATAAGAAAGGTAACAGTAGGCTGATGAAATGTAAATACAGCCAGTATGTATGTGTGGCGGATATGATATACGTGTATGACTGTGTGCCGGATATGACATACGTGTGTGCCAGATATGACATACAGTGTTCAGCATAGATGAGTACACCCCTTTTGAAAAGTACGATTTCAATCAATATCTCAATGAACACAAGAACAATTTCCAAAATTTGGACAAAACGTTTTATAGAACATTTATTTAGCTCATCACATAAAAGTAAGGTTAATAAAAGAACCTATATTACAGAATCTGCAGTTTTACAAAAATGAATATACCCCACAACAAAAACTACTAAATCTAGTATTTTGTATGACCGCCATGATTTGTAAGGACAGCACCAAGTCTGCAAGGCATGGAATGAAGAAGTTGGCGACATATTGCAACATCTATCTTTTTCCATTCTTCAAGAACGACCTCTTTTAGAGCCTGGATGTTGGATGGAGAGTGATGCTCAACACAGTGGCTAAATGGTTAGCACTTCCGCCTGGCAGTACTAGGGTCTTTTTTACACATTAATATGTTTTGTTTTTTTTGCGTTGTGGAGTGTTTATATTGTTACATTTTTGTATCACTTCTACTACAGTATTCTGACTGATATGTAAAGCTTTGCTGATCTTCCTGTAGCCTTCACCTTTTTTGTTTTCTTTCTCAGGCCTTGTGACATTTCTCTTTCATGTAGTGCCATTGCAGACAGAATGAAACGGGAAGGGGTATTCTTTGTTAACCGCTTTTCGACCGCCCTATAGCAGAAATACTGCTACAGGGAGGCACGACTGCGCAAAATCACATATATATACGTCATTTTGCATTTCTGGGTAGGGGGCGCGTGATTACTCGCTGGCGCCCGGTGATTGCCAAGGATCTCCGACGGGGAGGAGAACTGTATGTAAACAATACAGTTCTGCCTGTCGGCTCATGCCCACTGCTTTGGGTGGCTGTGCACAGCACAGCCATCCAAAGCAGTGTGCTTACAGTGAAGCACACAGACACAGGACAGAGTAAAACAGCATACAGTTAACTCTTTGATTGCCCCTCATATTAACCCCTTCCTGCCCAGTGCCATTAGTACAGTGTCGGTGCTTTTTTTTTTTTTTTTTTATAGCACTAATCACTGTATTGGTGTTCAAAGGGGATGTCAGTGACACCAAGTCAGGTCCCCCCAGTGTCAGAATGCCCGCCGCAGTCTTGATATAAGTCGCTGATCGCCGACATTACTAGTAAAAACATTTAAAAAAAAAAAAAGCCCAATATATATACTGACATTTGTAAATGCTATATCACGTAAACCAATTAATTTACATGTATTGGGATTTCTTTTTTTAGCAAAGACATGTAGCAGAATACATTTTGGCTTAAATTCATAAAGAAATTTGATTTTTAAAATCTTTTTACTGGGCATGTTTAATAGCAAAAAGTCAAAATTATTTTTTCTCAAAATTACGTCAATTTAATTTGGATGCAGCGTTGCATGACCGCGCAATTGCAATTCTGCAAGGAAAGGAAAGGTTTTCTGACAAATCTGTTGGGGTGTACTCATTTATGCTGAGCACTGTACATGTGTATGACTCTGTGTGTGCTGGATATGAAATATGTCAGTGGCAGCCAAAGGGGTCTGATTGTGAGTTTTTTCTGCTCACACCACACTAAACCATCCTGCACAAATTGTGCATTTGTAGGGATGTGTGCATGGCTAAAAGGTGGCACCATGTAAATCCAAACATGCACGGCGACTTAGAATCCAGAGCAACAAATTACCCATGTCAGGACATAACACCAATGTTTTGAAAGTACATAGAACCTGCTTATCAAGGTCACAAGCAGAGACAAATGAACTACAACCATGCAGGTCTATAGATATATACATACACCCATATCGGAAAAAACATGGGTAAAGCATAAAAACCATCTCCCTACAAGTTGCCATACTAGAGACCATGGGGTTTATTTATTAAAGCTTAAAATAGTGCAAAATCAGGCTCACTTCTGCATGGAACCCAGTCAGCGATTGGAGCCATACATTTTGTATGGCTCTAATCACACCACACCAAAACGATGCAGGACACTTTTTTTGGTCTGCACTAGAATCGGAGCGCATGAGTATTCACACCTATGCGATCCAATTCTGTACATCACACTGCATTTTGCGGACCAATTTCGGGGTGTTAACATACACACCCGCAGCGGTTTGCATGAACAGGGTACAATTCTGATGCGGTACAGAATTCGCACAGAAAACGCTGTGGATTCTGCACCGCATTAGTGTGAACCAGGGCTTACTGTGAAAGCTCAATTGGACAAGTTGAGGTTAGAAGCTGATCAGTTTCTATGCAGAAGTGAGCCTGATTTTGCACTCTCCAGCTTTAGTAAATAAACCCCTCTGTGTCCAGGGACTGAACTATCTATACCACAACTGTCATGTTTGCCAGAATAACAAAAATGTGTTCAAAAAAGAAACCAAGTCAGCCCCTACCTCTGCCTGCCCTGTATTCAGGATGAAGGGTGAAGTCCTGTAACTGTATATGCAGGGATGGGAACGCTGCAGCAGAGTGCACTCCACCAAAAAATTGGAGGTGTATACGACAAGAGAGGGAGCAGAGCTATCAATCATCAGCAATTCCTCCATCTTAGATCCGGTTTCATTTATAGAAGCAGTGGTATGACTTCTAAGAATGGAAGAATTAGGCATAAAGGGTTGGCAAAGTCTTGATGAGAGCCTGTGACCCCTTAGCTGTATTAACACCCCCTTGCACCAGAAGATTATGGCAGCAGGGGTAGTGGGGCATTATAGGAGGAAGATCTTATCTAAAGGAGGACACACCAGTGCAAGAGACACATCCTACTGAAAGTAATGTCCCTTTGGCTGATTTTTATTATTTTTATCTACACTTAAACTCAGTTCACACCTGTGCGGCTTTGAAGTCGCACTACTTCAGTGCGATTTCAAAGCCTCTGATCAGTACGTCTTCATGTGCGGCTTGACACATCTGTGCAACTTCATTTACACATGTCAATGCAAGCGGCACATGAAATTGTACAAAAATAGTGCAGGAACCGTTTTCTGAGTCGCACCGATTTGAACGGTTCCATAGCGGCAAATAGGGTGTGACCTGTCATGCACCTTTGATCTGTCAAGTCACATGGGGCAGCACAGTGGCTAAATGGTTAGCATTTCTGCCTGGCAATAACTAGGGTTGTTGGTTTAACCAAAAGACGCCCGGCCAATAGCCGTTTGGCGGCTGGCAAAATGCTGTAGATTTCCGGGGTGGACGCCAAATGGCGTCCTCCCGGGCATGCGCAGTTTTCGCACTTGCAGAGCCGCGCAGCAGTGCGATCTGTAACCGGCCGTGTACCTCAGACACGGCCGATGACAGATCTGAGTACCGGCCCCCCGTTGCCGGTACCATGTGACCTGCTATGACCAATCACAGCAGGTCACATGACAGTTGTATACAATGGATGGCTTCATTCATGCTATCCATTGTATACTAGTGTCTAGCTGTGAATGGTCACAGCGATCACATGCACGTCATGTGAATAGCTGTGGCCAAATCACAGCTAAGCACAAAAAAAAAAAAAAAAAAAAACCTTAAAGGAATTGATGTCATTCAGGTAAATGCTTGCTTATAGCAAAGTAATTCTTTGCTATAAGCAAATTCTGTAAAAAACAAAATACTGATCACTTCCCCAAAGTAGTACAATGTTACTATGGTAACATTGTACTACTTTGGTCATAGTGAAATATGAAAAAAAAAATCTTAAAAAAAAAGAAAAAACATTTAATAAAAATGTAAAATTAAAAAAAAAAAAATTATATATTTTTTTTCATACTGTCAGTGTCCCTGATCACCGCCATGCCAGTTATATGATGACGCTGTACTGCACTGGTGACAGTATGTAAAAAAAAAAATAGTGAAAATAATTTTATACATTTTTTAATTTTCCAAAACATTATGACAAAAAAAATATAACTTCAAAAAACTCGCCATGCCTCGTGAAGTACGTCTGACTGTCTACTTTGCAAAAAGGGGCCATTTGGGGGATATCTGTACTGTTCTGACATTCTTGGACCTCAAGAAATTAGATTGGCCATCAGTACTTCAGAATTTATCAATTTTCAGATCTATACCATAGTTTGTGATCTCTATAAATTTACTACAAACTAAAAAATACATCCTAATTTGGGTTATTTTAACCATATAAATGTAGCAGAATACATCTTGGCCTAAATTTATGAAGAACAATTATTTATGTGCAAACTTTTATAACAGAAAAAGAAAAATGTGGGGTTTTTTTTCAAAATTTTCGGTCTTTTTTTGTTAATTCAGCAAAAAATAAAAATCCCAGCGGTGATTAAATACCACCAAAAGAAAGCTCTAGTTGTGTGAAGAAAATGATAAAATTTTAGTTTGGGTACAATGTTGTATGACCGCGCAATTGTCAAAGTGTGAGACTGCTGAAACCTGAAAAATGGACTGGGCAGGAAGGGGTAAAAGTGCCCAGTATTGAAATGGTTAAATCCCAGCCACGGCTCCTCCTGCCTGGAGTTTGCATGTTCTCCCTGTGCCTGCGTGGGTTTCTTTCAGGTACTCCGGTTTCCTTCCACACTCCAAAGACATGCTGGTAGGTTAATTGGATCCTGTCTAAATTGGTCCTAGTATGTGTGTGTATGAATGTAAGTTAGGGACCTTAGACTGTACGCACCTTGAGGGTTAGGGACTGATGTGAATGTACAATATATATGTAAAGAGCTGCGTAAATTGATAGCGCTATATAAGTACCAGAAATAAATAAATACATTTTTGTCCTGGGCACAA